GAGAGAACTCAGTTGGTTCCAGGGAAGTCAGATAGGAGAAGCCTTTTAGTGAGATAAAGCTTATTATGCTCCTGAAAATCCTGCCGAGTAGCTAATAATTTTTTATTCAGATTTTCCTTATTTGTAGACATGCAAATTTGTCTCAAGTCAATACTTTGTTCCTGGAACTTCTTCTTCTGACAATTTAAGCAAYAGAGCCTACAAAGCTTTGACCTAAAAAGTTCAGTATTTCCCCAGGACATAGTTAGAAGTGAAAAGCTGGATCTTATCTCATGGTTATTATCCTGGTTGAGAAGAGGGAAATGAATAGCAAACCAAGAGTGATAAAAAAGATTGTGCTTGATGAGCTTTTGACAYGCTAGCAGAAGTCACAGAGGGACATTTTTCGTTGCTTCTAAGACGGTACATATAACCAGGTAGCTTTTTCTCATGTTAATGTTTTAAAACAAGTAGTTCTAAAACTCCCAAACARTCTAGTGAACCCAAATGGAACTGAGCAATGTGTGTGGCTTTGTTTTTTCCCAAGGCTGTAAGATGGCACTGTAGTGATTTATTACCCYCTTCTGCCTTTTTAAATAGCCAGTAATTTACAGGAGCCTGTACTACCCTCTGGATGATAGRGAGAACTTCACTGGTTGCAAGCATGAGATGGGATGTCCCAAACTGGCACTTTTAGATTGGTGGCCTATTAAGACTGAATATGATTTGATTGATGCTGAATACACACTTGRGAATTGAGATGATTRTGTGATACMCAGACWGTGTGCTTTGGTACACAGAGCAATCAGGAGCATTTGTGTTATCAGTGAGAGCTGATAATAAAGCTCGTGTGGTATTGTACATTATTTTTCAAAAGTAACTATGCTAACAGACCAGTAGGAGCTTGTTAAAGGAAAGACACATTAATTCAGGTTTGCTTTCAGCTTTCTTCTGAAATAATTATAACTTATAGTGCAGATCATCTTGGCCTTTTTTGCAGTCTTGCTGCCAAGAGAGCAAAACCAAGAGTTTTGTTCATCTTTTGTAAAATAAGTTCTGTGCAGCTTTCTAGTTCTGTATTTAGGGTCAGGCCTTCTATTCCTACAATGCAACATGTATTAAGGGAGCTCAAATACAGAAAATAGTTTAGAAATCCCTCTGTGCCATCATGGAATGACTTAACCCCCCACCGGGCGGGTTCTCTTGGCTCGCATCCTTTCTGTCATTGGGGTCCTCAGTGCCTCAGCAGAGACTGTGTGGAAATTGTACATTTTCTGGAGAATCTCCCTAGGCATCTTGAATTTCTGCTTTTCACTTAGCCCAGTATCCTTTGGCAGAAACTCTCCACCATCTCAGGCAATGGGGGGCAACTCTATGGAGTCATCTGAGTACTTTACACAGATTACTTGTACATGAGTGATCCTCTTTATCCGGGGACTGGCAAAAGCTGTCTGAACCCGAGTCAGACAGTGTCAGCTTCCCTCAATCCTACCCTTGGATGTGTTTTGCATGGCCTGTGTCAGTGGCTGACTCACAAACTTGTTCAGAGGCCAACAGAGACTCTATAGCACAAGGGCCACAGGCAGCCCCTGGGTGCCTGCAGGTAAGGCTCAGGTTGTACASTCACCCAGGCTCATGAAAACACCAGGAAAGCTGGGCTGTTCATCCAGACAGCTGCAAGTCTCTCAGAAATGTAGCGTTTTAAAACTATTACAGACTTTTAGTCAAATATTGCATGTAGCTCAAATGGCTATCAAGGCATTACACTTAAAGGACTGTGTGGGTACTAACTCACCCCTTCGTGGAGTTGAGGGCTTTCTCTTGTAAGTTTTAAGAACTGCTAATGTTCTTTTAATATCACAGTTCATAAACCTTGAATTAGCTTTGACCTGCATGCATTTTTCTTGCTGACAATGAAAATTCTTCATTAAAATATGTTGCTCATTAAAGTGAGAGTTGTATAACAGCCAGGGGGAAAAAAGGTATTTATAATGGCTATGATAAATCAGTAAGACTTGAAGTTCAGATTTTTCTGTCTGAGCATAAAGTGTTGAGCTTCCTAATGTTAAGCTTTGCTGGAAACCTGACTTCCAGAGACAAATCCCTGTCCTGCTTTCTGTCTTTTTCAACTCTCACCACAGTGACCTTTATCATTTTTTGAGTCTAATTTTATCACCAAACCTTTGTTCTTACTAATAAACTGGAAACTGTGTACAAATGACATCTTAGTTAATGATGTCTTACTTGTTTGTTGGAGGTTATTCAATACCTATAGAGCCTTGTGTAAGACCATGCAAATATTAAAATTACCAACATAAAAGCCAAAGAGCTACGAATTGGTGTTGTTTTTACCCTCACAACCAGCGTGTTGAAATATGTATTGAATTTGCCATTGACTTCTTTCAGAGCTGTCCTCTGATCTGCAGGGCTGCCAGCCTGGGGCTTTGGGAAATGGCAGTTCAGTTCCTTGTTCAAAACCCCCTGCAAAAGCCCCAGGGTGAGGTTTCRTGGTGATTGGAATTGAGTGAGGTGGAGGAAGGAGCAAGATGAGAGTGTGACCATGACAGGGGGTCTGTTGCTGTCAGATTCATGGTTAAGAATTGATAGTACTTCATCTAGGATTCATTGCTGTCTTTGTGAACATAATGCAGATAGGAAGGAAAGTGGGTTTCTTGAAGAAGGCTTTCTTCAGCATGAGGAGAGGGAGCTTGACTTTGAGAGGGCAGAAGTGCTTTGTAAGGTATCAGAAACATTTTTTTCCAATTCAGCTTCTCTTTTTGTGGAGTGGGGAACCACTGGAAATGGAGAAGCCTGCCTTGGTATTTTCTCATCCCAAGCAATCACAAAGGGCCTGTGGTTTGCAGAATGCTTTGCTGCCAGATGTTGGTCTTGTTTCATTTAAATCTTATCACATTTAATATTTCCAAATTAAAACAAAGGTTTGTTTGTTTGTTTGTTTAAAGAAAAAAAAAAAAAAGAGAAAGCAGCAAAACAATATTTGAGTTGACCCCTGTAATGAATTCAGGAAGACTTTTTTCCCCCTTCTCTTTCCTGATCTTTCTCCAAGGAGGTGTGAGYGAATTAATTAACTTTTCTGGAAGTACATAATGAGTACAGCGTGTCTACAAGTTTGGAATAAAACTACATTCCAAAGCTGTCCTCAAGAGCAGATGTTTATTCTGTTTAGCTGTGAAATTGTTGGGCATTTTTTTAGCACATCATGTCAAATCACTTGACTCTTTGCACTAYAGCCAAACGAAAGATATTAATAAATATATTTTGAGTTATCATAAAGATTACAGTGCTGTAAGCTACCATGATAATTGAAATTTCTTTGCATATTTAAAAATAATGTTTGAAGTTAAATGACATTTATTTAGCCCTAGCAAACTGGTTATTTTGCTCATCTTTTTTGTTTTAAAAATATATTATTTTTAAGTAATTTAATAGAATTTAATTGATATTTTCAGGCTGTAGTGAAAGCCATTTCTGCTTCTTGCTCTTATTAAAATAGTTTTTATGTACCATGAATTCCATTTAACCACAAATCAAAAAGGAATGAGCACGTTACTTATGACTTTCCTGCTATTCTTTGTTTCTGTATTTTGCTCTTAGGTTTCCTCAGCACACTGTTAGACCCAGCCCTGGCAAGAAGGTGATTGATATGGCTCTTTGTGCCCTGGCTAAATAGCTGAACATAGAGTATATTGTGTCTGCACTTGGGGAAAAAATGAAATGCAATTAAATTCATTTCAACTTCAGTAACATGACATTTCTGTTTCTTTCGTGTCAGCCTTTATTCTCTTCTATAATCAGATTTTGTAACCCTTTTTATAATGTCTCTTCACTTCAGTAATCACTAAATAGGATGCTTGTGTTGCAAGTTAATTAGAAATTCTCTTGTGCCTGAGTTGACTTTTCCCAACTCTGCTGTGATTTCCWCATCTTCCTAGAGAGAATGTTCTGAGCTGTGAGGTGCAAAGTCCCTGTCTGCTCTTGAATCCTCCGTGTTTAGCTTTGGAAGGGGTTTTCGTGTTACCATTTGAAGCATTTCTTCAGACATTTCAGTGCAATAGGAAGGGTCTGTACATTAGCATAGGTTTTCCATAACTGCAAAGAAAACTCCTGGGAGTTCATTCACCCTTTGTATTCTAACCCATGATGGTTAACACAGCCTTTCACAGAAAGTGTCTGTAAGGATGCGGGAGAATGATGCATGGGGCAGATGAAAGGGGGTGGACAAAAGATCTTCTTTATCCAGCTCTTTGTTCATAATTGTAAATTACAAMATACACAATAGTGATGCTTAGTTTTAGGGGTAAGCATTTATAGAGTACAGGGAAGCACTCTAAGAAACCTAGAGGGAGTGAGTTAGGTTTCTATCTAAATATACGTTAAAGGCTATTGTAAGTAGGTTTCAAAAGTCATCTTTTGGTTCAGTGAGAGTCGTTATTTCCTAATGAAAAATACATAAGAAACTCCCAATGAAAAAAAAACTTCGAAGGATAAAATCTATTGTAGTTGCAGATTTCCTTGGGTGCACAGGCATTATTGTTACACTATTAATTTTTTCTTTGTTTTAGCTTCAGTGTCCCATCCCCCAGCCTTATCTCCCCATCCCTATCCACCCTGTACTGTTGTATCCTATAATTAGTGAAGATACACATCTGTCTTCAGGCTACCACCTAATCTCTAAGGCCATATGGGTAAATGGAATATAATTATAATTTGGTAGAAACCAAGCCTTCTGCACATTGTTGTGTTATTCTCGTTATTTTTAAAGCAGGCAAATTGAATCTATCATAAAGTAGGGCTTGGAGGCTGSGTTTAGTCCTTGCAAAGTAAGTATTTTTCAGATGGAAATTTTATTRTGTTAAATTTGGGTGGGAATTAGCCAGTTTGGGAGGAATTCTGGCACAATGTTACCGCAATATGTAAGCACCCTGCATATTGTGAAGAAATCACCTGTGGTTATATGCAAAATATTAACAGAGGTCATTTTTTGTCCCCCTCTTTTTCAGTTATTTTTATTTCAGTTGCTGCGAGGACTGTCTTACATCCACCAGCGTTACATTTTGCACAGGGACCTGAAACCACAGAATCTTCTGATCAGTGACACGGGGGAGTTAAAGCTGGCAGACTTTGGTAGGCAAGCAGTTAATTACAAGTCTCTTATAATGTTGTAGGAATGTCAGACAGATGGTTCCATTGATTTCTCTTCCCCCCCACCCTATTCCTTAGACACACCTTCTTCATTGTAGATAATTGCACATTTTTCTCCTGAGTGAAGAAATTGATTATGGTCAACAAAATGCTTGATTAAAAGAGAGCAAGTGAAAAACAAATACTTACTCCGGTTCTCTCAAGGAAGATAATGCTGAAAGTATTTCCATTTTATTTACCGTGAGACCTCTGAATTAGAATTAAAAACCTTTAAAAGGAAATGAAGAAAAACAGAGGAAATACAGACTGTATGAAAAGCACAATTAGTTTATGGAAGCAGCTCTAGGGTTATGGATATCTGGATTAACTTTCATTAAAAGAGACTGAAGGACACAAGAATAAGTGTTCCTTCTGAAGAATAAAGGACACTAGGATTAGCTGTCCGTTAGTTCTTTGTGGGAAAGCCTTATGTGAAGTATAAAGTCAGGATAAATTACGCTCTGAAATGTTAACTTTTTGCCTATTTTTAAATTTTTAAGCCATTTTCTAGTGGCTACACCAGGGCAAGTCCTCTTTCCTGTGAAAACCATTTTGAATGCAGATGTGGAAAATGGCAATATTTTTCTTTAGTGGTTTTCACAAAAGGTTGTAGGAATTTCTTTCTTTCCTGTAGGTCAGCTTCTCGGTTACTGATTCCAGCAGAACTTCAGAAGTAAGCCTAAAATGAGACCTATTGGAATTTTTTTAAAATGTCTTTTATTTTTATGACTGCTATCCACATCATGCTTCACATTTCATGCAGCAGCAGTAATGAGGAAACCTTGTGTGCTAATTGGCAATTTCMCTATTAATGTAGTCATGAGGTTTTGCCTTTTAATTAGCATTACTGCAATTAACAGCTCAGTGTGTATTTGCTGTGCTGGAGAAGGGAACAGGACTTAAGGTGGACACAGTCTGCAAGAAGTGATTGCCTTTGGATTGTAAGACAGGGAAATAGTATTTGAAGCAATTGTTTCCTGGTTTTACCTATGGAYTTTTTTTCATTTTCACTTTTCAAAACTTGCTGGTTTTGAAATATATGTTTTAAAACCCATTCCTGCATGCTACATTTTGCTATGAGCTTTCATCTCTTAAGTACATGAAACAGGTGCATCATTCAGTGTTCTTGTAGTGAAATGTGAGTTAACCCTCTGTTGAASGTGTTGTGCTGTTTAATAGTTTTATTGTATCATTTGTATGTATAGAACACTATGARCTGATCTGACTTCAGTATCCCCATRTRGTCATATTCCAGTCTTTCAGGAGATTGTAATGATGGTTCTCTAGCTTTGGTGGATGCTKAAATCCATAAAAGATCCCACAAACTCTTCTGTATGTAAAATGTTTCCTGTGGTGTGGGGCCAGTTGCTGAAGCTCTATGGCTTCTATGTCTGGGGAGAGGGAGGCTGCAAACATTTTAGCTGTATTTTTAAGAATAAAGGAAACAACCTGCCTTTCACCAGCACTATTGCATGCGCTGCTGGAGGTGTGAACCAATCAATGAAATGTCCAACTCAGAAAGAAGCTGCGTCTGTCTGGTTGTGTTGCCTGGTGTTGCTGTAGAGCAGAGGGATGGGTGGAACCTTGTTTGTGCCCTGCTGTAGTAGGAAATGTAACTATCACTTGTGATGAAATTATTGCTTCCTTGTRGCACCAGGGTAAATATCTCAGTGATGACACCAAAGGAAGGATTTTCACAGCTTTGTGTTGGCAGCAGTTTAAGGCTGACCATTGTGTATGGCTTTGATAGAGGGGCTAGAAATGTGTGAGTACAACCAGAAAGAAATACACGGTGGTAAACACATGAATGTGTAATGTTGTGCAGAGGATATTTTTTTCACTTTTAAGTGTGTCTTGACATAATAGAAACATCTGCWTAATCTACTCTTATACACAGAGAGAAGATTATATATCTCCTTTTTTTTTAAAAAAAAAAAGCTAGATTTTCTTTCATGGCTCATGACCTCATAAAACTTAAAACCAGATGGGTTAAATTTCTCTTCTGAGAACCAAGATGAAAAATTAGAAGTGATGAGGTTGAAGTCTGACGGGTCATGACCTCTTTTGCTGGAAGCATGAGAAATGAGAGCAGACCCATGTGCTCTCTGGGTGCCCCTGTGCATATTTACTTATTTAAACTCTGTATTATTATAGCCCATCTTCCATCTTCCGAGTACGAGAGACTCTTCTTAAACAAGATATAAAATGAAGTCCTATTTTTCTTTATGTTTTTCTCCCACGAATGACTAATTTGCAATAATGTGCTTGGAAAGGAAGTCGCTTTAGATTGTATACTTGATTAATTACATGAGGAGCAGTATGGAAATTAGAAAGATGGTTGCTTTGCTTTCAAATGCTCTCAAGGCAGGAGAGAACCTATCAAGAAATCAGTTTCTGTCAGAGATAGGATTGACTTTGCTAGTATAATAAATATAAAATCCTAGAGCAAAGGCCTTTTATTCTCTAAGGACAAGACCTTCAGATTCTGGTTTYATAAGTTTACCAAAAAAATCAACATCRTGTCTGAAGTTTTTCATTTGGTGKCAGGCTTATTTAATCTCTTCACTGTAGGATATCAAATACCTGAAAGCAGGCTAGTGGATCATAGTTCTTGAATAAACAAGGTAAAAGAAAGGCTATTCATGTCTGCCAGCACATTGCACTGTGGCTGAAGCGGAATCTTTGAATAACTGTGAGCATGTGTTTTTCTATAGAAGGGCTCCCAGACACAGATACTCCACTGTGTGGGAGTGTCTTTGTTCAGATGAAAAGTGGTTTGCTTTTCTGTTCATTGTGCTCTAGCTGCTAGGAAATGAACATTTATGAGAAGACTCAGCGGTCAAATGAAAAAGGAGAGGAGAATATAGAGGCTTTATCAAATGAAAAATAGATGAGCTATAAAAAATGGCTTTCTTGAGAAGATGTAATAGGGGAGACCTCATCTTGAATAATTGTTGCTATGAAAAATAGTCCTTGAAAACCATACCTGCATTCTTTTTTAAATCTAATTAAAATTCCAGAGGAAATTAAAGTATATTAGAATTCTGATGGAATGAAGTGCAAGAATTATTTTTGATCCTGTGGTGTGAATTTGGCTAACTGTCTATGACTTTGTTTATTTTGTCCCCYCTCCTCCCCCAAATGTCACTCTTAAGTAGTAATAAAATATTTTAAACCTCTAATGAGTAGCACCATAAGAAATTTGCCTCTTCCTTCAATGGAAAGACTGGTAATYCTCAGGGCCACCAGCCCGCTGAGCTGACAGACATGGACAGGGAGTGGAACAGTGCGCCTGCAATCCAGGAGGAGGAGGTTAGTGACCTCCTGTGCCACTCAGACACTCACAAGGCTGCGGGTCCAGATGGGATTCATATGAGGCTATTGAARGGGAAGAGCTCATCAAGCCACTCTCCATAATTGATCATCGATCCTGGTGAGTTGGGAAGGTCCCAGTGACCAGAGGTTAGCAAATGTGACACYCATCTACAAGAAGGGTTGGAAGGAGGMTCTGGGAAACTACAGGCCTGTCAGTCTGAYCTCAGGGYCAGGGAAGRTCTTGGAGCAGATCATCTTGAGAGCCATCACATGGCATATATGGACAGCTGGGGGATCAGCTGGTATGGGTTTRTGAAAGCCAGGTGTGATYGTTTATGACCAGGTAACCTGCCTAGAGGATGAGGAAAGGCTGTGGTTGTGTCTGCCTGGATTTTAGTCAGGTCTTCCATAAAGGCTCCCACAGGATTTTCCTGGTGAAGCTGGCAGCTCTTGSCTGGTATTATATTGTTAGTGAAGCTTGATGAAATTGTTAGCAAATTTGATGGGTTAAAATTGTCTGGATGTCCAGGCTAGGAGAGTGGTGGTGAACAGAGTTACATCCAGTTGGTGGCCAGTCACGAGGGAGGTTCCCCGAGGCTCAGAACTGGGGCCAGTCCTATGGAATATCTTTACTGATGATCTGAAAGAGAAGATCCCAGTGCACCCTCAGTCAGTTTGCAGTTGACACCAAGTTGAGTGGGAGTGTTGATCTGCTGGAGGGTAGGAAGGCTCTGCAGGGGGATCTGGACAGGCTGGATCGATGGACAAAGGCCGGTTATATGGGATTCAATGAGGCAAAGTGCTGTGTCTTGCACTTGGGTCGCAACAAACCCATGCAATGCTGCAAGACTTGGGAATGAGTGTCTGGAAAGTGGCCCAGTGGAAAAGGACCAGGGAGTGCTGGTTGAAAGTGTCTGAACTTGAGGCAGCTGAGAAGGCCAGTGGCATCCTGGCCAGCGTGACCAGGGCAGTGATTATTGTTCCTCTGTTTTCGGCTGAGGCCCTGAYTCTGTGTGAGGGTGCTTGAGTGACCACAGGCCTGAGGTGTGGGAAGGGCCCCAGGAGCTGTGTGAGGAGATTGAAGAGTCTGGGAAGAAAATGTGTCAAGGTCGGGGAAGATGGGCAACAACACGGTGTTGAGGAGGCAAAGGCAAAATGCTGGAAGAGCGTGGTGGGATAAAACAATAAGTGGCTGTAGAAAATGTCGGTTCCATGTTTAGTGGGTGGCATAAGTCAAAGCAGACTCTGCTAAGGCTGGGTGCTCTGTCCCATCCTTGTCTTGGTGTTAATGAATAAGATCCCACAGCCTTTGTTCTCAGAGATGGGAGATGTGAGATGTGGTTCAGGGAGGAAGGGGGTGAGTGGAAAATAACTGATCTTGGGTATCTTGAGAGGAATCTTGACCTGTGTGAGTTCATAGAATCATAGAATCTCCTGAGTTGGAAGGGATCCCTAAGCATCATGTAGACTCTAACTCCTGACCCAAGAATCAAACCCTGTGCCTGAGGGTGCTGGGAAAGCTGACTGATGTCACTGTCAGGCTGCTCTCTGTGATCACTGAAAGACTGTAGAMTGAGGAAGGTTCCCAGTAACTGGAGAAAGGTTATTGTTCTGCCCATTTTCAAGAA